CACTCTTTCAACATAAAGGTTGAGCATTGCACAACAAGAATTGTGATTTAACTTTTCAACTATGAAAACAAGTTTTACAAAGATATATTTTGCCACTGATTATTCAAAACTTAAGGTGGTGAACTAGCAGTGTTATGCTGCTTTGAAACATCACTGTCACTGTAAACAACAGGCTAATAAAAATATAACAAACCAGCAATCTTCTTGCTGTGAGGTGGTCAAACTACCCACTGTGCCATCGTGACACCCATTATTTTTATTATTATTATTATTAATATTATTATTATTATAATTAAATAAAAATTAACAGGAGGAGGTGTTTAAAACCGCCTTGTGCGGCAGTATAGAGAGGGCGGCGTCCGCAACACCCAGTTATATCCGCGCATAGGGTGGTAGAATAGAGGTCCGCGACACCCACGCGTCCTCAGTTATATCCGCGCATAGGGCGGAAGAATAGAGGTCCGCGACACCCGCGCGTCCTCAGTTATATCCGCGCATAAGGCGGCAGAATAGAGGTCCGCGACACGTCACTTCATTTTCATAACCGGTCACTTTCGTTTTCACATTGGGGTTGAGGGCGGCGTGATCGTCCTCTGCCTAGAGCAGCAGTTCAGCTTGCTCCGGCCCTGCAGATGAACAATGCAATAACATCCGTTATTGGCATAGAGCGCACAAAACTTTAGATTTAAAACTCAGTGGGGAATAAAATGTTTGTTTTGCTTCTCGCGCTTTCTGAGGGCGCACCACTAGCTTCATCCGCACATCTGATACACTGAGTTGTAGTGTAAGTGTACACATCCGCAAATCCGTTGCTAAGGCTTACTTTATGTAGGTCGATTAAATTATGCGCCAAAAACAGGTTGACAACACTTGTTAATAAATAAAAAATACATTCTATATTAAAAAAATAAGCTGTATCTCGGAAAAACCGATGCATCTCGCAAAAACCGATGCATCTCGATTTGCTTCCAAAATTTCATTCATCCTCTGCTGCTCAACCGATGCACTCGCATCGTGCATGCGCATGACCGCGTATCGATACATATCGATTAATCTTCCCATCCCTAATATATATATATATATATATATATATATATATATATATATATATATATATATATATATATATAATTTGAATTAATTCAGCTTTAGTCAGTATTTGCAAAAATATGTTGATAAAATTCAGCTACACTGTAAACAATTTTTGTAAATTAAATGTATTTTTTGCTGTAATTGATTAACAACAAGTTACTATAAATTCTACAGGACATTGTTAACAATGCACTGTTAACAATTATTGTATATTTTACAGAAAGGATATACAGTACAATACTGTAAATGCATATACAGTGAGAGTGCTGTAAATGTAAATACAGTATTTTTGCTGTAACTGATTTACAGTAAGCTACTGTAGATTCTACAGTACATTATTAACTGCACTACTAAAGATTTTTGTAAATTACACAGTATTTAACTGTAATTTGAACTGTATTTTACTGTAGAACAGTGACGTTACCGTATTTTAAAGTTCCACTGTAAATATTTCTGTCTATTTTCCGGTAAAGCTATACAATACTTTTAATGTTTATACAGATAGATAAATGGTGATGTAAATAAATACAAAATTTTTACTGTAATTGATTTAAAGTAAGTTACTGGTGAACTGCTGCCAGTAAGTTTTGTAGATTCTGCAGGAAATCGTTAACAGTGTAATAACATGGAACCTGTCACTGTTTAAAGTACAGCTCTTTTTAAGTACAGAGCGACATTTAGAGATTAGAGGTTATCAGCAGAATAAAACTCAAAAGTCAGGAAGTAAACAAAAGTCAAGCCCTTGTTCATTTACTGTTCCAGATGAAAAACCGAACCTGCATGGGAACCTGATTTAATATTACAGCTTAATGCATTTTTTAAATAGTAGAGTTGAAATTTTATGCTCTCTAGATGTCAGCCTTGCAGTTTTTCAACATATGACCCATAAAACCTTATAATTTAATCTATTATAGCCTGACTGCAAGAACTGAGTGGCCTTGAGAGAATCCTATGGATCTAGCTTCACTGATATCCTCAAATTCAAACAGCTTTGCATTATACGAGTCACACATAAAGCACACATTTGTTTCAACCCACGTTCTAGCCCAAAATAAGTTCTCACGTCTAACACAGTCCTATATTTCACTTTCAAAGGCAGTTTTGGCCTTACTTGCCAACACCAGACAAGAAATGACTTTAACTAATTAGCCTGTGCAATCTTTGCTGTTAAATACATTCTATGATGAGGTGTTGACATAAGTTATGGGAATAAAGCTGAATGCAAATATAGTAAATTCATATTCATAACACAGCCACCCAAAGACCATACATTAAGTTCATTAAGTTCATATTGTACTTAAATAATATTGAAGTATAGATTTAAGTGTACTTCCTGTAGTAAGTATCCTTACATACATGTACTATTAGTATACTTGTAAGTGTACTACTTTAATACTAATTGGCCAACCTATAAGTATATAAAAGTATACTTTTAAGCAGGGTGCGAATTATACATTGACAATCGGGGGGTGCAGTTTTTGGCATTTGTGATATTAAACACAACTTTTAATGGAAGACTACATGTATTTATTTATTTTTATTTTACTGTTTAACTTCTATGTGCAAACAAATGTATAATAAAAAACTAACCATGCATCTAGTTTTACAAGAAAGATGTTTTATAAACACTTATGCTGTCTGTTGGTTTTCTCGATTTGCCCATTTCAAACCGTTGAATTAAGGTTTTTTGGCACAGACATGCATTCACAATGGTACTGACCACTACAGGGTTGGTCAAATGTATATTTATTATTATATATTATTATCTATTATTAGGTTATTAGGTTATCTATTATTTAAATTAATAATATTTAAGATTCCCCAGTGCTGGTTTGTGGCTGAAAGGGCATCCGCTGAATAAAACTTATGCTGGAATAGTTGGCGGTTCATTCCGCTGTGGCGACCCCTGATGAATAAAGGGACTAAGCTAAAACATATTAATGAATATTATTTAAGATACAGATCAGAGCAAAGTATTACTTAACTATTAAAGGGCAGAATCCACCATACATCTTGTTTTTATGTCCTTCAAGAAGGATCAAGCTTTAATTAGGAGGGTCTGACCTCCCCAAGCCCCCCTGTAATTTGCACCCTGCTTTAAAAGTGCACTGTAAGTGTAATAGCAGTAAACTTTTCATTTGATGTTTTCGTTTGTAAGTGAGTACACTATTAGTTTACTTAATAATAAACTTGCAATACATAATAAGTAATAATAAGTAATAAAAATAGTATGTGAAGGAAGGAGGGAAAACCATAAATGTGGACAAGTATGGGGCCCAATACTAAGAATTTGGGCTCTGCATTTAATATCCAAGCACACATCCATGCACAGACACCATTAGGCCATTGTTCTTAGTTTAATCTTTCTAGTGTTATCCTGTGTACAGTAAGTGTACTTAACAAATTTGTCTTGACTAGGGATAGTTTGGTATTGAAGACATTACTGTGCATATTTTACTCAGATATACTATATTTATGGTATATTGTGGTATATATACACATGCTTTATGTGTTATGTTAACTTAATCAAATTGTGTTGGGAGAACATGAATTAATTATGTGAAACCCTGCATTTTTTACAGTGTAGGTCTAAATATACTAAACTAATTATTACTAGAAAATTTGGCACAAGAGTACACCGAACTCAGAAAAAGTATTACTATAATCAAATTATCATTAAAATACCTATTACAAAATTAGTGAGAGGGGTCTGGATGCAATCTGAGCTGCATCCAATGCATTTCTATAGACACACCGAACCCCACTCCTAACTCTAAGGGTGCTTTCACACTAGCACTTTTGGTCCGCACCCGGGTTCGTTTGACGTCATAGTACGGTATGTTTAGCTAGTGTGAACGTGTCTTCTGAACTCGGGTGCACACCTGTGAACCCTACCCGAGTCCGCCTGAAAAAGGTGGCACGGCCAGGCCCGAGCCAGGGCAAACACAGTGATACACATTGATGTCTGCTTGTCTCCTCCAAAAACAGCTTCTGCAGTTACTGTGTTCTGAATGTTTATAAATTTTTTGCTGCAGATGGACGTGAGTCGCTTTCTGTATGTCCAAAACCAAAAGCTTCAGTTAAACCAGAATGACCGTGATGTGCTGTTGTCTTTCCATTTCGGCGCTTGCTTTCGTGACCGTGACCTAGCAACAGCACTAAACAAAACAGCAGCTCGATGACGCAAGCGTACCGGGGTTCAGAAGGAAAAAGACAGTGTAATCCCAATACAACCAAGGAGGTGGCAAGGGGAGACAATCGAACTTGGGTATGGTCCAGGCAATTGAACCAAGTGTGAAAGGACCCTAACACTCACAGTGACGTCACTAGCTCCATTGAGTGCACTGTGTCTGACATTGCATCACTGAGAGATGCAGTCTCAGCTTGCATCATAAAGGCTGCATCCAGATACTATTAAAATTAGTTGTTACATAATAGCACACTTCAAGTTAACTAACATTTAATAGCAAGTAGGCAGTTAAATTAAGGTATTTAGCTTTTATAAAAAAATTGAGGAACACATTACTGGTGAGACAAAACAATGTCATTAACTTTGATTTAATCTGCAAGTTATTTTCAGCTAAAACATTTAATTTAGTCTAGAACTAGCCTTAAACCTTTTCTCTGAAAGCAGGTGGGTATGTAATAATATGTAGAAAACAAAAGGCCATCAATCTAAAGAGTAAAAACTATTAGCCAAGCATATTTAAAATAGATGATTATACTGTTAAATAAATGTCAATGAACAAATAAAGGCCAAACATACTTAGACATTATGTGAGTATAAGGCAAGTATACTCAATTATACAAAATCTTTTCTGTGAAGCACCAAAGTCTATTTTAAAGTAGTATATAAAAAAATAGGTTGAAATTACAAATGAATCAAATTTCTGTTTGTAACTACCTACCTGTTTGTTCATGAAGATGTAGATGATTGGGTTTATGACGGTGCTGCTCTTGGCTAACAGAGAAGGAACTATGCTGGCTGCTGGTGTCACCAGTCCGGGATGTCCAAACGTAGCCAGCAGCGCCATTATCCCATATGGCAACCAGCAAAGCAGGTAACAGACCACCATGGTGACCACCATGAAGAGCACACGCTGCTCCCGTTTACGACTCACCACCGTATTGATCCTGCTCACCTTTGTGTGATGAGGAAAAAAAAAGAAAAGACAAAGAAAAACATAACATTACACTGGAAAACATATAGTTTCTGAAACTGATAACAAGGTTTATACAGGTTTCACCAAGTCAAGTAAAGACATTTATTGTCACTGATATTTAAAGACCTGGAATACTCTAAGATTAACACCTTGAATTTAAACTAAGGGTACCAATTTGAGAACGCACACCAACGCGCAAAAAAGTCAGACGTAATAATGTAAAGTCACACTTTATTTTGATGGTACGTTTGTTGAACTTAACTAATTCTCATTAGATCATAAGTAGACTGTTAGGTTGGGGTTAGTGTTAGTGACATGTACCTGCAAAGTTTTTTTATAGTCAGTTAAATGTCTGTATCAACAGATATTATGCAGACCAGGGCCGTGCACAGGGGGGTGGCCCTCTGCCCTCCTTTCAGCAGGCGCTTGCTCGATCGCCCTCCCCCCTGCTCTTTATTTTGCGATTGAGCTCCTGCGCCCTGTAAGGGTCCGTGCACGGGCCTGAAACAGAAATTCTACTAATACTCAAATGAACTATCAAAATAAAGGTGAAGACAAATTTCCAATAACGAAGATGCAAGATACAACGTGGAGCTGCTTGTTTTATTGCTGTCTAAACACAAAGAATTGTATGATAAACACGACAGCGACTACAAAAATGCAGACAAGAATGAGTTGTTATGAACAGAAATTCCAGAACAAACCGGATTCGATGGCAAATTCATTTTCCTGTATTTCATTAGGCTACATTTAACATCAGAGTGACTTCGCCCATTTACTCTGGTTAAAAAATCAATGGGGTCTGAAAATTTCATGAGCAAAAATCATTCCAGTGTGCACGAGTCTATTATGTCATCTGAAAAAACATTAAATAAACAAAGAAAATAAATCAAATTGCTTGAAAATGATGTAATTTATGTTAAATGAACAGTACCAAAGAGTGTTAAACTCTTTCAGAAAAAAGGTACACAGTGGTACAAATAATGTTCCTTGAGGAACAGTTTCGGTGTTCGGTGACTAAAATGTTATTTTAATAAATACATCTAATTAATAAATCTGTTTTGTTCAAATGCACCGTATTCATATTCACTTAGAAATGGATACAAGTATTAATTTTCAAAATGGGGTGTTGAGCACCGAATACAGTATATACCTTTTATATCCATTTTTTTTCTAAGCAAAGAGTTTGATTTCGAAATGTGATACTTTTGTAGACATTTATGAGCCTGCTGAAACCCTGGATAAAAATCGCACATGTGGAAATAAAGAGATTAGTTGTCTCAATGAATGTTCAGCATATTACTTAAGGCCAGCTTTGCAGAAATGTATACCGGCATGAATTGATCACTCCAGTCTGTAATAGCCCCCTTAACACAACAATGGCCGAACAGAGGGCCTATTACACATTGTAGAATTGCCCGATGCACCACTTTCTCAGTGTTGTAGCACTTTGTCTGACAGCTGCTAAGTGCTCTTTTGGTGAAGAAGCCCAAGAGCTGAGAGCTGCTACTTTGGTTGAACTTTAAGCTCTGAAGTTATTTGGTGCAGTGATGCTCTGCAGTGTCATTCGATTTCAGACCGCAATGTGGATGCGCAAGTCATTATCTTCATCAGAGGTTTTGTCCTGTCTTGTCCTTTTAGTAAAACATTTACTTGAAATGTATATGGAATAACAAATAGAGGGTAGTGTTCAAAAGTTTGGGGTTATTTTATTATGCAAGGGATGTGTAAAAAAGTGACCGTGCAGATAATTATAAATTTTGAATAAATGAATGCTGTTCTTCTAAACTCTCTATTCATCAAATAATGCTGAAAAGAGATTTGCAGCTTTATTAAAAAGTAATAAAAAGTTACAGAAATTACAGTTGCAACTTTAGTTTCACTTGGACTTTAAGTGCATCGACACTTAGGTCTGAAGTGTCTATGATTTTCTCAGATTCCCAAGTTCCTTTGCTGATCCTTACCCAAACTCTTTGCTTCTAATGATTTCCTGTCCGTAATCTCAATTGGCCTATCCTAATAAAGGTGAAACAACAATGTTTGTTCGGTGATTTTATTTACTGTATAGACAATCACCAGGATTATAACATCTCTCTGGAATACTTGATCTTGATTAGTCTATGCATTAATACGTACATTTTTTTCAATAAATTACTGCTTAGGTCTTTAAAAGGTCACACTTTACAATAAGGTTCATTAGTTAATGTTAATTAATGCATTTACTAACATGAACAAACAATGAACAATACATTTAATACAATATTTGTTCATGTTAGTAAATCGTAGTTAATGAAAATACAGTTGTTCATTGTTAGTTCATGTTAAATCATGGTGCATTAAATAATGTTAACAAGCATGGACTTGGATGTTAATAATGCATTAGTAAATGCTCAATTTTGATTAATAAATGCTATACATGTGTTGTTCATGATTAGTTCATGTTAGTAAATGCATTAACTAATGAACCTTATTGTAAAGTGTTACCCTTTAAAATATCAAATGAGAATGCAACATGCTGTATATATGCGTGTGTGTGTGTGTGTTTTCATTTGTCATTTGAGTTATTCCATCAAATACTGATTGATTGTAACTCGATAACACTTTACAATAAGGTTGTATTACTTCATGTATTTACTATGAAGAAACAATGAACAATACATTTGTTACAGTATTTGTCCATGTTAGCTAATGTTAGTCAATGAAAAAACAGTGGTTCCATGTTAGTTCATGTTAACTCACGGTGCATTACTTAATGTTAATAAGTATGAAATCCATGTTAATGCATTAGTAAAATAATTAATAAATTCTGTATAAGTTTATAATTAGTTTATGTTAGTAAATACATTAACTGATGAAACTTTATTTTAAAGTGTGATTTTAACTTTTTTGGAGTTTAAAAAAAATATTATAAACATATGAAAACAATTTTTTGGGTTATTTTATGCAAAAAGCTCTAAATGATGTCAGTTTTTACAGAAAACACCTAGCTAAAAGTGACTAAACAAATGAAACACAAAGAATTTTAAAAAGAGAGAAACCAAACCCTATTAAAATTGAAATAATTCACTTCTACCTCGAGCCACAATAATAATCAGAATCATACGCTACTTTTAATAATCTCCTCTTCTTGAAATTACAGCGTGAACACATGTCTCCCTGATGGGCTTGCACTTCAGGCCTGTAACGGCTGGATCTCTGCACCCACAGTAACATAATTGTGCTTTGACTACGAGCTAATTAAGAGCAATGGAGTGGAACTGCGCGGCCCTTTCCTCACAGGCGGTCCTCGCTCGACACCCTCAAATCCACCGTCCAACCCTGAGCAGAAGCCGCAACTTGACAAATTATTACTTAGCAGAATGTCAGATCAATGTCAGGTTGCTAATAGGCTCCCCATTGACTTGGGCCACAGTTTTTTCGGGGGCTTTTTTTTTCTTAGTGGTCACATTAAAATGCGTCCTATATGCACAGAAGGGCATCGCGCAAGGGGTGCAGACTGTGAATAACGCGGTTTGAAGGCCTGCGGGGGTGTAAAGTCACCACCAGAGGCCACAGCCAGCGGCGCATTTGCGGATGAACTACCAATTAAGAATGAGAGAATACGTGATGGCTGTTTGAGATGCAGCGTTGATGGGTGGACAAAAAAAAAAAAAAACGGCCCCAACTTCAACTCAACTGAAGTTTGATTGACAGCCAGATATTTTACGGTCACATTAAACACTGAAGATGGACAACCTCAGATGTGAATCACAAAAAGGAGATGGTGGTTCTGTGTAGGTGTGTGTCCGCTTTACGTGATTCCTCAAATGAATTTGGATAATTGCAGAACAACGGGTGATGAAACATGTTTGCTGGGGAATGGCAATTATAAGCTGTTATTTCAGATGCTAAATGGATTAAACAAATGAATTGTGAAAAGGGGAAATTGGTGTAAGTAGGACGGGAAATAAATGATCACGCTGTCTGGGAAAGCAAAGCAAGTAAATTGAAGCTGAAAATCATATTAGAAGAAGTAAATCATTTCTTTAAGACAAGACTGAATAGATTTAAAAGTCAAAAAGATTTGTAGGGGTGCACCTGTATAGGAGCTTTGCCAAATAACGATAACTCACATATTTGGAAGTTGATAACTGATGGGTTGATAAACGCAAATCTTGATATGAATAGAAATACAGCGAACATGATTTTATTTTAAATTTTAACTGCATAAAGCAAGAAAACTACAAGAAAACATCATTAACTCAAAGTCATTTACAAATTATAATTCTTAAAGGGACAGTTCCCCAAAAAATATCGTCTCAGCATTTGCTTACACCCAAGTGGCTCTAAATTTGAATGAATGTCTTTCTTCTGTTGAACACCAAATAAAATAAAAAAAATCCTGGAAAAACTAACATTGACATCCATTATAGTAGGAACAAAAAATACTATGTAACTCACTGGCTTTTTAATCAATCATTTCTATTCAACGATAAAAAACTTAAAAAATTGGAAACAAGTGGATGACGGTGGAGTAAATTATGACAGATGTTTCATTTTTGCATCATATTAAGTTCTTTCTTTTTCATGGTGAAAATGCAAATTTATTAGGCAAGAATGCAAACATGCACAAAAACTCAAAGTCACCGTGCATTATTCAGAATAGAAATGTGCATTATCCAGAATGATAAAATATTTAAAAGATTCAAATTTGTAAAATTCACCTCAGCTGTAAAAGAGTTTCCAAAAAGTGAAATTTATGTCATCATTTACTCACCCTAAATCCAAAACTTTGGTTAATCTTCAAAACCCAACAAAGACTATTTTTATCCCCACAAAAATTTGAGCAATATTAATAAACAATAACTCTTTATATTTGCAGGCCAATAATACATATGTTGGCCAATAAATGTAAATCTTGATTTACATGCTAATATGGCCACCATAATGCACATCAGTAGATTTTTTTTTTTGTCAAAGAACCAATGACCATATAAACA